CTGGTGAAAACAGTAAAAATGGGCTTTTCTTGTCCGCCTGCCTATGAAAAGTTTTAGTGTAAACCTTCCAGTGTTCACCGCAATGCAGTGAAGTGATAGCCTTTCTAATGTTCAGAAACCAAAGGAGATGGAGGTTGGTTTCCTTTCAGCAGAGTCACTAACACGAGGAGGCAGCCCAAGCATGGGCCTCGGGCCCCGTGCCGGCCTGGAGAAAGGCGCTGTGCTGACAGAACTGCTGCTGCTCCCCTAATTCAAGGAAGGGACAACCCATTACAGCTGCTGCTTGTAGTCTGCTTGTCTTTCTGCCTTCAGCTTCTATGTGGGGTCACCACAGAGGTGAAGTGTGGAAAGGGAACTGATCCTTTGGCAGGGTGGGGGTGGCAGCAGGGGTTGTGGGGGGCTGCCTTCGCTGTGGTGTTATGAAGGCAGCATCCGCATCGTGGCTTTGAGACTTCTTGGGACTGATGAGTTTCAAAGGATACAAGGCTATGAAAAAAAGTATGAGTTTATGTTTGCGTAAGTTTAATGAGCCCTTACTAAAGGTTCGGTGCATAGACTCCGACCTGTTTCACTTCAAGTGTCAGGTATGTTTGAACTTTAAGTGAAACATTAGCTAACATGTCTAGATTTTTTCCTTTGGGAGGCCCTAAGTCTCCAAATATTTTTGTAGGATGTGAGTCTTTTCATGACTAGATTTTGACAACTTTTGGCTGTGACACTTTTAGTGTCTTAAAGCAAGTAGCAGGGCTGGATTTGGCCCATCGTGTGAGGGGGAGAATGTGTCTATCCCTTGGAGCTAGCTGCCTTCCTGGGGGAGGACTTAAACTTTAAGGGACACATTTACTAAAATGGTCTGTTAGCAAATGGAAATTTTCTGGTGTCTGCTATGGGGAGATGAGGGGGAGTGTGTGTCAAGTCTCAAATTGGTGCACTTGAGGAAGAAGAACGGGTAACAAGCCAGTAGTTTTTCCCCGACACCCTTTTTTTTACGACCCCTTTTAATTTTAAATAGGGAAGATAAACTGCTGGAAGCTAAACTTGCTCACCTCAAGTAAAAAAGGGAAAGGCAACCTCTGCCTCTGAAATTGACTGAAATCACTAGCTGTATTAGAAGTAAAATTGTGTTTAGGTGAGTACTGTCGAGTAGCAGGATGTCTTTTTCCTGACTGGAAAATTTGAAGGATTTCATCAAGAGAAACAATTGTACAGTGAAGCTGATTAGACACAGCTGTCAAACCCACTAACTAAGCACTTTTGAAAGTTAATGAAAAACTGTCTTTCATTTTGCATATGTGTTTAGAAAAAAAAGAACTTACTAATTAGTATGATGGAAGAGATAAGACACACAACTGTATATTTCTATATTTTGATTATTACCTGTTACAAATTCACTAAATCTAAAAGATGCTGCTGGACGTTGTCCACCTCTGCTCCATTGCTCTGTGCATTGAACATTTTGGCAGCTTCCTGTCAACAGGATGTGGAGCTGTTGGAGCCCTGTTTGATTGCAGTTATTGGTGTTTTGGAAAGTGTATGGACAAATTCTACTGCTTGTATTGCATTCTTACATGTGCACAACCTTCTTCCTTTTTTTCTGTTGAGATGCTGTTAATTTAATCTCTTTGAACTTGATCCCAGAGACCAAATACTCTGAATTAAATACAGCATATAATACTGCCTTTTGTTTTTTGCAATCACTGTGTTACTTTTCCTGTGACATTAATCCTGAATTGTTTGCAATAGCCTTGGAGCTGACTAGTTATTCTGTGTTTCTTGGTGGCACTGTATGAGCAGTGCATTAGTGATGCCTTACTATGCATGTTATTCTGGTTTTGAAAAAGCAAGCATGGTTCTGATGCAGAGTTGAGATGCAGACCCTGGTATATAAAGCCTCCCGAAGTAGAGAGACACTTCAGCGGAGAATCTGTAAATGGGATGCTTGGATGGTCTTTTCTCAAGTAAATAAATATTGCCACTTACTTAGTTTCAAGAAACATGGCACACAGCTGCTCTCTACTCCTTGTTGTAAAATAATGGGCTATTTGCTGACTGAAGCAAGCTATTGGCATTATTGCTAGCAGCTGCTGAACTCTTAGTGTTAAACAGCTCATAAATGTTAATCATGTTGCAGTTTTGTTAGAGCTTGTCTGCATATCCCAGAGGCACTAGCTAATATGTCACACTTTTGGTTTTTTTCACATGAACTCGTGGCTTTTCTCAACAGAGATTCTGAACAGTAACTTCATAATTCAGGACATTTACTGTGGTGGCTACAGTTTTGAAGAAACTGCATTTTTAACTACAGCTTCACTAGTACTACTATAGCTTTGCTTAGATGTGTTTCAGTAGGCTCAAAGCTGCTGAGAATGCAGTGGAATGAGTACACAGTCGAAGGGAACATGCTCTCTGCTTAATGACCTGTTATTTGGAGATCAGTGAAAGTCAAATCCAAACCTAAACTGAACAAAATCTGTGTGGTTTATCCTGTGCTTCAGTTTAAACTCTTTTTCATATTGTAATGGTTTTGCTGCTATGTAAGTGTGAACAGCTTACAGGAAATGTAAGAGTTGCTGTAGAAATGTGTGTTATCTGCATAATATGCAATTAAATAATGTGCTGTGGCCTTTTAACAGTCCCTCCCACCTTCAGCCAGTGGGAATGTGTTCTTAAAAACAAGACAAAGCTCCCAAACAAACTAATCCTTTCCTTCCTTCAGGTCAGATTCTGATAGTGTTCTTTGTGGAAAACACTGGTAAGGTCCTAGAACCTGGTTTTGAGCCTGTCAAAAGGATTGTAAATATAGCACTAATGAAAGCATAGATAATTAAGTAAAAGCTGCTGTATTACTGTAGGAGTTCAACTTTTTTATTTTTATCATTGTGAAGGTCAGAAAGAGGGCAGTGTTGTTGCTAGTGCATGCCACATTACCACATCTAAAATCCGTTCTTTCATCCTTACTTTTGTGTGAGCATCCAGCGGAACTTTTTCTCTCTAAAGCAGTGGTATGTGTTTACCAGCACTGCGCTTCGTGCCTAGAGGCTATACTCCCTACCAAACTAGTTGAAATTGCTTAAGGCTTCTGGTACCAGCCTGGGAACACAGGTTAACCTAGCTACAGTGTGACTGTTCCTATACAAAGCTATATACTCTCTGTTGTGTATTTGGGATGGTGCTTAGGTTGCACGTGTGTATGCTGTTCCTCTTCAGGGTTCTCTCCTGGCTGCTTCCACAGGAATTTCTGTTCCTGAAGAGATGTGCAGGACTGGCACAAGTATGGCAGACTGATGCTAAATGGATCCTATCCTGTAAGGTGGGAGGTCCCAACTTGAGCTGGAACCTCTTGGGCTTTACGAGATAGCAAGTATGGTTTAGAGTGTACAAGATTGTAAATAGGACTGGTTTTCTTGTGGTTTTTAGAGAATCAAACTGAAGACACACAAGGCTAACACTAAAACATACAGAAATCTGTGAGCAAGTGATTGATCTCAAAACATTCGGTCATCTTATTTCCAAGGACAGGAGTAAATGTCACTCTTATTCAAGTAGGTGGATATGAGAATTTGTTTCTGGACTTGCTCCTAAAAGCACAGAGAAAGATTGCATAGTATACGATCTAGTAGTTTTTGTTTAGAAATGAAACAGAAAACTCTGGAAAAGTAGAGGGGACTCCAGATTGTGTGTGTGGTGAAATTATAATTATAATTACATGACTGATGTTTTGGGAAAGGCATAATTGTAAAAACAACTTTGGATTTTTTAAAAACTTTTGAGCCCAATTATTTGTAAAGAAGTGCTGTAGTTTGTTATGGATAGTATGACCATTCAGCTATTGGTTCTGGTCACATCTTTTCAGTGCTTTTCAGCAGACTTTCTGTGGGTTTCCAGTTCTTCTTTTTTTCTTTTTTTTCCCTCCAAAAGGTCCACCTAAAAGTTGTGCTGTTGCCCTTTAATTCTGTCCCATCTACATAAGTATCTCATGCAGCAGATCAAGATAGCTTGCTGAGATTAGATACAACTTCAAATATCCAGAGTCATATTAAACAAAAAAAGAAAAACCCCAGACTGATTGAATATCTCAGTGTCAACAGTATGTGCCTTGTTTTGAGTCTGAAAGTAACTTTTTTGTGCTGCGTTCTTAAACTGATAGAATAGACATACTCAAACGGTTAATGAGTTAAGAAAATGGTGACCTGAGTTTTGGTTCTCTTCGAAATTCTCATCCGGAATACCTTATTGTCGTTGCACTTAAGTTAAAACTTAAGGTTTTTTTTCAACCACATGTATATATTTGGGCTTTGGTTTGAACTGGATGCTGATGAAAAGCATAAATGACTTTATGAAAGCTGTCTGACACATGTAGAAAGCCGACAGATCTTAGCTAATGCTATATTCCTAAGGCTGATCTCAGGAGATCAATCTCCAGACCAAAAAATGAGATGGACAAAGATGTGGATCCTACTGAGTAAGAAGCTTTCCTGGTTTTTGTTTGATAATTGTAACTCTATTGAAAAAAAGTCTGAATGGATGACATGCATGTTATTCCAAATCTCTGATTGATCCAAGTCTCTGAGCAAAGAAATAAATTGGTTTTAAACATGAAGTCCTGCATTCAGGGATTTCACTTTGGATTTGTAGAAGTCTTCAAGAAAGCAATAGTTAAAGGACCTGGCAGAATCTAGAAGCAATGTATGGTGTACACTGTCAAGGATCTCTTTGCAACTGTACAGTTTGAAACCCGAATAAGTTAGTGAACTGTCAAAGAAGTGCTTGCCTATCCAGGTACATCGGAAGGTGCATCACTAGTGCCGTCTTTCATATGACTTCTGTGATTTGTAAGTAGGAAGAAACACTCAAGTTTATTAGGGAGTAACTTCTGTGTTAGCAGACAGTTCGGGTGGGGAGAAGGAAAGCAATGAAGAACTGAAATATTAAAAAGTGCAAAAGAAAGGTTGTCAAAAGTACTGATCACTTGTTTTTTTTCCTCTTGCAGACGTTCAAGTGCTGACCTTCTTGGTCTATTAAGTTATTATAAACTTTTGCTGCTCTGCAAACATATAAAGATGTCTCGCAGCCCTGATGCTAAGGAAGACCCTGTGGAATGCCCCCTTTGCATGGAGCCTCTGGAAATTGATGACATCAACTTCTTCCCTTGCACCTGTGGCTACCAAATCTGTCGTTTCTGTTGGCATCGTATCCGCACTGATGAGAATGGACTTTGCCCTGCTTGCAGAAAGGTAAATATCCTGGAACAGTGGCTTGTCTCGCACATATCCCAAGGCTCTTGCATTGTGTTGGCACCAAAGACATCCTTTTCCTTCAGGGAAACATTCATCTAGTCATGGCCTTAGAGCAAGGGTGAGGTGTTGGATCTTTCAGATTCTGTCTGCATATGTGTCTAAGCTGTTGCGCAACTGCTAGGCCTGGTTTGTTAAATTCAGAACTGGATTAATAGGGGAAGCTGTGGATCAGAACCAAGGCATGCTGATACTGGGAGAACTAAAAAAAAAAGAAATCATTTGAGTCAACGTGCTCATGCATTGACAAAGTCTTTTCAGGAAGGACAGTGAAGATTCCAGAATCAGGGGTTTGCTGAGGGCCGAGGTTTGGCTAAACTAGTGGAGCTGTCTGAGGCAAGCTTATAAAGCCCATGCTTGTTTTGTTTGTGGCACTGGAGCTTTTAATACATATTTTTCTGGACACTAAACATGTAAAACCTTTAGAAAATATATTCAATGGTGTTAAACTTTAAGCATTTGGCAGCAACATCAGCATACTAGACAAATAACATAAATTTTGAAGTGCTTTAAAGGTAGTAAGTTGAGAGTCACACTTAATTTCTCCCTGTCTCTTAATTGATGCCTGGCTGATACTTTGGCCACAATTATAAACTCCAGCTTCTCTCAGTTGCCTGCTTTTTTCCTTTGAATTATTTTCCTCCTCCTTTTAGTGTTTTGCTTAACCTCATTATTTCCTTATCTCCAGTGTTTAATAAAATTCTTTCTCAGTATCTTCTCTTTAACTCTAATGACTTCCCTTGATTGTAACTTTCTTGCCTGGCCTTCCTCTGTTTGTAGTCACAGCTACTTATATCCCCCCTTTCTCCTGCAATTTAATTGTGATCCTGTGCTCAGTTTATGCCTGTGTTGGCTTCCTGTCTCATGTTACAACTCCCTTTTCAGACCCCAAGTGATCTTACTTAGTCTCACTATCCTTATTCACTGCCACAGTAGTCACTTCCAGTCATATTGCTGCTCTTTTGGGCTTTGGGTACACTAAAGCTATCACTGCCAACCTGCGTTTGGATGCCTCTGCAAGCTTGAGGGCTATCCCACAGCAACAGACATTTGTTAACAAATTGTGTAAAATTGCTGCGATATTTGAGATGTATGTTCTACAAGGAAAATCCACCTGTCATCAGCCAAATCTCCATATGTGATACCTGCTGCAGATGACACAGGCTGTATAGTAAATTTCATAGTACAAGCGAATTTTTGCTCTTCTGGTAAAACACTGGATTTCTGGAATTTCCTTGTCTAAGTCCCTTCGTTTACCTGGATTTATTACACTACTTTTTGTCAACAACTATTGATTAATCTCTGCCTATTATTGGAAGCTTGTGGAATATATCTGAAAAATCACAAAAGCAGTATGCTGCCTCTGAGTATCTGAATTTTTTGAAATATGGATGCTGACAGCTGAACTTTTTGATGTGGAATAATCTGGTGTATCATTGGATGTGAAAATATTTTACTGAATTGGGATACAGTTTGCTCAGAAAAAGAGTTCTGGGAGAAGAGCTAGAGTGAGTGTTACAATCAGAATGAAGCACACCGACCATTCCAGGAGAGGAAGGAGGCCGCCTCTTTTGCAGTAAACAAGGTTTATGTTCTTCATACTTTCTTTGTCCATGGACTGCAAGATGTTCTTGAGAAGAGTTGCAGCCATATCACTGGGCTGTAAGAGACTTGCATGGAGGATGCTGAGGAGTACACT